TAACCCAGTAGTTACTGCGATTGTAAATGAATTTTTGTAAGCCAGTAACTACTGGTGTTGTAAAAGCTTTGATGTTGTAACCCAGTAGTTACTGTTATTGTAAATGAATTTTTGTAAGGCAGTAACTACTGGTGTTGTAAAAGCTTTGTTGTTGTAACCCTGTAGTTACTGTAATTATAAATGAATATTTGTAAGCCAATAACTGCTGGTGTTGTTAAAGCTTTGATGTTGTAACCCATTAGTTACTGTTATTGTAAATGAATAAAAATCTGAATAAAGTCAAGTGTTCATGGTTCGAGTGCCTTCACTCTAATTATTAATTATGTTTTCTTTTTTCCCCCACAGTGTGCGAGAAGCAAGTAAATACAGCCCTGAACTTGAGGAAGACTTATTCGAGTGGTCCACAATGATAGAGAGACTTCTACCTGATAACAAGTCCCAAGAGGTGAGTTATTTTTCCTTGGTTTTACTACTAGTTAGTTTTCCATCAGTTTTACTGATGTTCTTGTGTTTTTTTCTTTTCCTTCAGAATCTTAGCCGCACTCGAGCAGTGGACTTCCTATCAAATGCTAAAGCCTTCACTCAAGAGGTCATTTGGTTCTTGAACGAGAAGCTGCAGTCCTTAGTTCCAGTAAGATACATCTTCTCCCCTCCCCTCCCCTCCCCTCCCCTCTTGGGAAACCTACGCACATCAAACCACAGCTACCCCAGTCCAGTGAAGACTGAAGAATTTCTGACCACTCCGTGTGAGTGGGCAATATATGACATAGTGACTTTAAAATTGCTTGTTTTCTAAGCCAATCAAAGGGATAAAGTACATTCTCCGTAAACAATAGAAGCCATCGTGTTTGATTATAATCAAGGCTTGGAGCAGCAATGAAATATTTACTCACTAACTCATACTCTTACTAACTCATATGTCCCATGTATAAATATTTGAAGTAAAATAAATTCTCGTTATTTCAGCCATTACGAGAAGATAAATTGACATCCATTACTACAGCACTGAATGCAGTTGAACCAGAGCTTCTACGAGCGGTCGATGTTTGTGGCTTGCCTGATCTTGATGATGAGGTTAGTTATATGTAGTATATATTCCCATAAATGTGTCAAAAGATAATGTCAGATGCTGGAGGTGATGACATTAGAGGCCTTGTAGTGACGTAAGAAGCCTTCTAGGGATAACGTCAGAGGTTGGTCATTGATAACGTGAGACTCTCCCAAAAATACTCAACTAAAATACAGCTAGTAAACATAATAAATAATGAACACGTGTTCTTTAGAGGGACAAAGCGACGAATAGCAAAGGCAAGAGTAAATTCTCGTTTGGATTGTTGAGGTCGAAGAAACCGGAAATGACGAAGGCTGTCACTGCACCAGCAGGTACTGGATTTATTTGTCTGTCTGTCTGTCTGTCTGTTTATCAGTCTGTTTGTCAGTCTGTTTGTCTGTCTGTCTGTCTGTCTGCCTTTTTGTCTGTCTGTCTTTTTGTCTGTCTGCTGGTATATCAGTGTCTTCTGCACTGTCTGTTTCTGCGCGATCCACCCCCTCCCCCCCGTTATTTATCAGGCATCACGACATAGGCATAGTGATATTACACATCAGTCTACAATGTGTATCTGAATATATTGTTTGATCATCAGGACGCATGATCCAGTACTGGGGAGTTGAAGAAGTTGGCAGATGGTTAGAAAATATAGGACTGGTTGAATATCGAGACTTGTTTGCCAGAAATGACATTTGTGGTAATGAACTACTCAATCTTACTAGACCCGACCTCAAGGTAAGAATAGATGATGATGATGATTATGATAATGGTGGTGGTGGTATAATAATGGTGGTGATGGTATAATGATGATGGTGGTGGTGATGATGATTATGATGATGATGTTGAAGGTGGTGGTGGTGGTGGCCATATGCATTCTTACCTAAGTTCAAAAAGTTTACCTAGTTCGTAGGTACGTTTTTTGAACATGTTCAAAATTCTTACCTAGACATAGTAAACTTTTTGAACATCTAGTGGTAGTGATGGTGATGGTATAATGATAATGATGATGATGATGATGATGGTGGTGGTGGGGATGATGATGATGATGGTGGTGGGTGTTGGTGGTATAATGATGGTGATGATGGAATGACTGGATGAATAGCTACTCTGTAGAAATGCCACTGTTAAATCCCATTAATTTATTTATTTTATTATTTATTTTTATTATATGATGGTGACGATGATTCACTTCACGTTCTCTTATCGTAATTCAGCAGTTGGATACCCTTACTAATTCAGTGAAACAACCCCCCCCCCCCCCCCCCCCCCCCCCGCATCTGACTTTTGCAAAATGCGTAAGTTAGTACATATGCTAATACTGAAGGTATTCCACGAAGGTATGAGGGATTAAATTCGAATTCGATATATCAGCTGCATGCCTTATCGAGTAAGTTTGTAAACCCTTATCGGCTCTCCGCCGTGCATCCTTTAGTGATAAATCCTATTAGACTTTAGATTTTTACCATATTTTTGATGGATTTTGTCCTGGCAGGACTTGGGGGTCACCAAGGTGGGACACATCAAGCGGATTCTTCACGGCATCAAACAGCTCTGTGGGGGACTGTCACCAAGATCAGCTGCAAAAATAGAAAGAACCTCGAAATGCGAAGAAAAGCCTTCCAGATCTACTTACCTCGATAAGGAATACAGCCACTAAACTAAGAATTATTCCATCCACTCCTACTAGTAAGTTGGCTATCTTTGCAACACGATCAAAGCAAGCACTGAATCTCATCAAATGGGAAACTCTAGTTATTAGAAGAAAAACCCCACAAAAAAATTCCTGAAGATATTTAAGCAAATGTGGTCAAAAATATGAATATTCGTCCTTCATCAATGGGATAAGGAAAGAAGTATTCGAGACAAACTACTCCATACCATACMCAAGAAATTCGASAACAAATCAAGAGAAAAAGATATTTATGGTTATTAAAACCACCTCTTTTAMAATAGTTCATATTATCARCSTAATACAATTAACGATGATTTTCAATTTTAGAATCAATAGACGTACGGAAATTCACAAATTTGTATCATTAGAATAAGTAGGCGGGTCGATTGTGGCTGCCCTGACCCTCCAAAGAAATGTAGACCCCCAAAATAGGGGTCTGAAAAGTGGTCTCTTATGGGGGGAGAGGATAGGGCGTGGCCTCGCTAGAATTTTTCAACTTGTACTTAATGTTTCCTCATTTCAGACCACCACGAACTCACCGCATTGAGATTTTATTTCTTTATATACTGGTTGCATAATTACTTCCGCCAACATGACGCTTGCTTTGGACACATTTGAGAAGGTAGACGATTTCTACCGTGTCAAGAAATCTTCAAGGGAATAACACGTGGTTTGGAATGGGAAAACATTGCGCCCAAATTGAAGAGGTCTATTTTTTCACTCATTTTGACTCAAAGTTGTTCCACTTCACGGTAAATAATTTCCTAAGTTTAGTCTATCTGGCTAGACATTGTCAAGTCCCATAAGAAGGAAACTGTAAACTGATATGAAGTGGGGGATACAGCGAGAAAAAATGAATGAATCCATTGATCCAGCGCCAAACCAAAAATCTTTTCAAAATAATCGTAGCATTGGTCATTTCTCCAAATTCAAGCAGGCTGGACCTGTTTGTCTAGTTCGTCAAGTTTTTCATAACCTATTAATGACAATACTACAAGTGAATTTTTTAAACGTTGAAAAATAACGCAAATACAATAGTGATCAATGGAAAAGAAAATATTATGATGTTCGTTCGTGTGAAGCACAGGTAGAGAGGACGTTTTATATTCTTCATGTTTAGTAGTTCAGTTTCTTGTGTTCTTCGGTCACTATGGTTATTTGTATTTTATTCGTACATTGGTATTCTTGTATAATTAAGTTCGTGCAACTGACGAGGTTTGTTTGGCGGGGGCCTTAGGAGTATCTTTATCGTTCCACCCCCCCACCCCCCCCCCCCAGTATTTTTTCTTGCTATCTATTATTAATTCCTCATACTGGGTCTCAGCAATGCGTGGTTTTTAGTATCCATCTACGCAAGTTCTTAAAACAAGAGCAAGTGGAAGGTTTTGTTGTAGTCTTGGCGCAAGCACTGAGAACAGGACAAAGCTTATCCTTCTGCTTGGTTTGGGTACGTTGTCACGAAAGGTGTCACGCAAGGTTACTTAGGACAGTAAGAACGTCTTTGTATGAGACTAGATTTGAGTCGCTAGTGAAAGTCATACCTAACAAAGACCTGGACCAATCGTGATTTTTACTGGATCTTTCTTTTGATGATATGTTAGCCCCTATTGAGGCCCAGAACGTAGATACTCTAACGCCCCGCCCAACTACAAACCTCCATTCTCCATCATCGTTAGGAATAGTGTCTAGCAGCTGAAAATATCATGAGGCATAACGCGCATAGTTATTGTCCATTCCTAGGTCGAGGAAAAACTGGGCGGAGTCGACATTGCGGTGCATTGTGGAATTGTTTTACGGAACGAAGTAGACGCTATCTTGGAGAGATGTCCTAAAACAGTCCCACAGTGCACTGCAATATAAACTCGACTCATCCCCCCCCCCCCCCCCCCCCCTCAACCTCGGAATGGCTAGTCGATGTATATTTATAGTCATTTTAGTGTTTCAAAATTTTAATAGTATGGACCGACTATATCGTTCGTTTATTTTTATGCACTGGTTATGCAATGCAGATATATTTACCAGTCAGTGTTTATCTTTCTTCAACTTGATATTTCGAGAAAATGAATATTTTAGTSGAAGTGTAAATTGTTTTTAATGTCTTATATATCGTTAAGTATATTCTCGTTTTATTCTCTCCTGATATACAGTGAATTTTGAGTTGAAATTTTACGGGAAAATGTAAAAATGTCAATTTTAAGGTGGCGCACAACCTGTTGGTTGCCACAGCAACATAATCAGCTCGATAAAAATCACAACACTTTGTCGCATGTGATTTAATACTTATCAATGATCTGCATCTTACGACAGGAATGCGACAAATTGTGTAGCAAAGAGCAAAATATTTCAAAATTAAAAGAATGATTGTAAGATAATAGATTATTGTAAGATAATAGATTATTGTAAGATAATAGATTATTGAGTTAATTATTCTCTATTGGACAGAGAAATAGAAATATATTGTATGATTGTCAGAATAAACATCTGTATGAAGAAAGAATGATTTTGAAGGTTTTGGTCTGTGAATCGCCAGTTGTTCAGCCATTTGCGCATTAGTTTTTTTGCTATTTTCTCTATTTTTGGGAAATTTCAAGCAGGGGTTTCTAACTCTGTATTCATTCAAACAACCACAGTCTTCGTGTACATCATCGGCGTTAGTGAAGTGTCTGACTGAACTGAACAAAGAAAAGCTATTTTGTGTTCGCAAGAAATTGTTGAAATTTGTGCTGAACAAGGTTCTCAAAAGTGACGAGGAAAATTGGACGGGAGATGTACGACTACTCTGTGAACTTTTCTAAGGAGAAAGAACATCATTCAGATATGCTACAAAGATATGCTACAGACGTAACACGAGAAATCTTTTCAAATGTGCCATTCTGCATTGCTGGATCCCCTCAAGTACCTTTTGTATTTCGACTTGTATGCCGAATGGATCAAGGCAATGGTCTATTAGATCGCTTTCTAGTGTGGTTTCCAATATGCTTCCGTCTGACTCCGAAAGAAACAGAGGATGCAAGGACAGCTCTTCGAGGTATGATGTTAGAATTCCCTGGGGAACCAGGGGGGGCCAAGGCGGCCAGGGGGGCCAGGGGAACCAGGGGGGCGAGGGGGTCNGGCCAGGGGGGCAAGGGTGTTCAGGGGGCCAGGGGAACCAGGGGGGGGCCAAGGGAACCAGGGGGGCATCGCCGCCATCTTGAAAATATTGAAACGAGAGAGACTGTGGACGAGTATTTTGGTTCCCAAAGCACGCTGGGTTCAAGTTTTCGGGACCCATAAGTCCTTTCGGTACCGTTACAGTCTCTAAGCGTGGAGACGGAACGGACGAGCGAGAGACTGTGGAAGAGTCTACTCAGCTTAGGTCCTAGTCTACCTCGGTAGACACCATTGCCTGGTTACTCATTGTCTCGTGACTTTGGATCAAGTGAAATCTATTTTTCCATTTTTCAAGGTAGATTGCAACCTAAAAAATAAAAATATTTCCTAATCTAAAACAGATATGGTAAGTACAAGCCTACATTAAGTTATTTTAAATGTTGTTTGTAAACTGTTACGTAAATTCAATACAATTTGTACACAATTTGCCTTTAGTGTTGAATGTCAAATTGATCAACAATTTCCACAAGTATAAACTTACAATGCGATATCTTCTTTATTTTTTGAGTTTTATTAAGGGCTTACCAAGGTTGAAAAATACAGAGCTTTAAGATATTTATTTATTTACTTGTCTAATTCCAGGCTGCTGTTCTAAATCATGGTTTAGATAAGATTCCCGATGCTCAAGGGTATCTTGTGATTAATCCAGACGGCGCTGTTGTTGCAGTAAGTTTGGACCAAAATCTCCTTTCTCCTAGTCAGTAGCTTTCTATGTCTTGTGACAGAGATTTTCTCCCTTATTCTAGCTGGAGAAGCACTGAAGGAAAAGGTTTTTCAAGCGCATTGTATACTAATGAGATTTGAATAATAAATTTTAATTGCTATAAATGTATACATTGTTGATCCTACCCTCATGCAAACCCCACTATTAAATGAAAGATATAAATTGTTGATAAACCAAAATAGCCAGTATTCCTATTAATAATCATTATTGTACCATGGCTTTATGTTACACTAGCTGCCAAGATTTTTGCTATAGTTTCATATGAATGCTATTGCAGAAGCCTCTATTCTTCACTACAAAAATCTCACAAGACAGACGATAGTGCGGCTTGTGTTAAGAAAAGCCCAACAGACCATGATAATAGAAACTGTCTCCATTTTTTCATTGGCATAGTTCTATAAATGTCTATTGTCTAGTCTGCAGGTGACCTGGAAAATGATGAAAAAATGGCTGGAGTGATGTTAGAGATGTTACAGACTGCSGCATTGATTCCTATCTCTGGTGACAGAACACAAACCATGAAAAGAATGTCAAGTAAGTGAGAATAGTATATTTAATTAAAATATTATGCAGCTGTAAAGGTAGCATTAAAGGCTGTATATCTGCCATGTCAGGATGCATAACAATAGGCTTTGTACCATCACGTAATGGCAGCCATGTCAGAATGCACAACAATAGAGCCTTTTCCCCTGGGAAACTGACTCTTTCTAATATAAACCAGACTAGACCAGATTCATTTATTCCTGCCTCCTGTCATGGCTCTCATCACATGATAATGCTAAGCCTTTATAACCACCAACTCTGTCAGCATTTCACAGGCAGGTCTTTCTTGTCTTGCTAAGGATTTTCCAACTGGTACCAAATATTCACATTGTTGACTGAACTTTTGTTTTTAGTTYATTTTGGGGATTTTATACTGATGGCTACAGTTTCACATCAAAAAATATTTGTAGTAAAAAGACCAGCACCGCAAGAAACCAGCTAAAGTATATTAATTTTGTCATCTAAATTGAATATATAATGGAGTAACAGAATGCTTATCAGGCTGTTCACCTCCAAATAGAGTGGTTATACTTAAACTGTGCAATAGTAAGTGGACTAATTAGCAATTAGTCCTCATGCCTAAATGGGGTATGAGTCAATAGCCCATAAGGTCAAAGCTCAGGGGTTACTCTGCCAGGATTTGGGTAGGGGTGTTCCGCTGGGATTCTGAAAGGGGTACCCTGTTGATGACAAAGGTAGGTATAGTCCATATATGGGAGTACCTCCCCCCCAAGGGATCAAAGGCTATTGATTCATAGGCCATGAGGGCTCGAGGACTAATAGAGGTCAGAAGATCTCTTTCCATTTTTTTGTGTGTGTGTCTGGCTTGTACACAAGAAATTTTCTTTATGAGTCAAGTATAACCACTCTATGTAAAATGTTTAATAAGAATTGCTTAATAAGGAATAGGATTTATATTTGGAGGAGGAGCGGTAGAATGAAAATTGTTAGCCTTATCCTTATTACCCTGGAAGTACTACATAATAACTTTAAAGAAAGGCGTGACACACGTCATTTTGTTTTACACCAATCAAAGCACAGAATGGTTTTAATACGCATGTCCACTAAAACTTTAAGGTGTTGCGTCTTTTCTTAAAGTTTCTAAGAAACATAGTTTATTTTGATAACTTTGCAGTGATTAAAAATGAAAAAATGTCAATCATCTTACAACATTCATGTACTTGATACTGTACTCGATTGATATTAAACCAATCATTTACTCACTTAGATATGTAATAATTGAAAACAATTGTAAATAAATCTAGATTTTCCAGGTTGATTGTGAGTGGACTTAGTCAAGATGTTCAATGTGRCCAGAGCATAACTCTGGTTTTAATAGCTAGGAGTTCAAACCATATATATATATATGTGAAATAGCACAAAAACTAAATACCACTAAGCACTCTATTTCTTTTGTTTTCTTTTGTTTCGTTGYTATTTTGTACTGATTAGTTATTATCATATAGACATGAGTGTTCTACTGGGAAATACRCCACTCATATTTTTCGTACAAACTACACCCAGGAACTGAGTAGCATATTTTCGATATCTTCACTAGTGAGGATACAATGATGTCACTTGCAATGTTTTCCGGGACCTGTTTTCATTAACTTGCGTAGTTGTTCTTTGTGGATTTGTCTATATAATAAAAATAAAATTACAGGTTGGCTTGAAGATATGAAGTTTATCTTCTCGTGTTGAAAAATATTTAACTTCTTTTCTGCGCTCACTCGTGAAATATTTTCACCACTCGGAGATAAACTTCATATCTTCGCACCAACATGTACCATTTCACGGATATATTGTTTGCACGCTATGGTGATGTGACTAGGAATATCACTACCCCTTAGGATAAGATGTCAGTCCATTGCAGGCCCTCCCTCCCTCTATCTTGGGCATAATGTTTTTTCCATTTTGGACCACGTGTTATTCTCTTGGGAATAAGATTCTTTGTTTGTCTTCTCATGGACAACCGTTAAACAAAGAAATGACACTCTAGGGAATGACACGTGGAATGAAGAAGGAAAAATGTTAAGCCTGAGCTAAAGGGTCTATTCCACCAGTATCTGGTAAGAAATCCGGCATTTGGGCAGAGTACCACATTTTGTCCAAGGGCAATTAGCATTTCTGCTGATCCAGATTCTGCATCACTTTCACTTTTATATTAAAAGATTCATTTTTCGAGATCCAGCTTTTGGATCGGATCAAACCTCAACCCCCCTCCCTCACAAAACAGATAGGTGAGTGTTTTGATATTTGGGTTGATGCTAAGAAAAGAAATACCACTTAAATAATACCAACTTCTAAACTTTTATTAAATAATTCACCTTGCACTTATTATTGWCCCAGCAATAATTCATTTTCATAAAATTTAGAAGTAAATGGGTTTGTAGCTACCCATATCTTGTTCTCGTGAACCTAGCTGTAGTATTTAATAGACTTTTTTAGCTTGAGTGCAAATGTTTTCCTATTTCAGACCATGTCATTTTCTTGCAATAAGATTTTTGTTTGAGTATTATCTATATTCATGTTTCTTCTAATGCACAACCACCAAACAAAGAAATGATACTCAAGAGAATGACATCCATGGTCTGAAATGGGAAAGCATCAAAGGCAAGGTAAAAAGGTCTTTGGTTATGAAATACTTGTGAAAAGATTTTATCAAATTATCTATGATTACCTACTTATTTTATCTAGTAGCTATCTACCACTGTTTTAAAAGTCAATATGTTAATCACAGTAAACTATTGTCATTCAAATAAATCATTCGATTACATGTACCATGTA